GAAGAGAGAGGAGGGAGGAGGAGGGAGGGGAAGAGGGAGGAGGAAGAAGGAGGGAAGAAGGAAGGAAGAAGGAGGAGGGAGGAGGGGAGAATGAAGGAGGAGGAGGGAGGAAGGAGGAAGAAGGCAGGAGGAGGGGAAGAGAAGAGGGAGGAGGGAGGAAGGAGGAGGACGGAGAGCGAGTGTGAGTCCTCAATGCCTGGCCTGGCCTGCTGCTACTTGTGACAAGTTCTTTGCCAGAAAGGGAGAGGAGGCTTCCTCTCTGGAAACTCTGAGCGCTGGTGGGGAAGGAGCCACAGGACAGAGGCTCCTGGTCGTGCGGGCGGGTGACGCAGGGGCCTCAGAGGCACAAGCAGAAGTTCACAGTGGACCCGAACCCGGGGGAGAAAGGGAGGTTGGAGGGGATGCTAACGTCCCAGGGGCTTCCCTGGGTAAATCTCCGAGCCCCTCCAGTGTCTGCCCTGTCCCCGTCACCGCCAGGGCAAAGGAGGCGGGGCTCCACGAGCGTCCATCCAATGGGGGCTGCCTGGAGGTTTTGCTCGAGGGGGTGGGTCTCCTGCCCCACGAAGTGGACAGCGAGGTCCGGAGAGCCGGGGTGAGCACCCTGTTGGTGCCTGAAAGAGCCTGAGCTGAGCCTGGCTGGGGAGTCACGGCCAGGATCCCGGGTCACGCGGTCCACCCGGGGGCATCGGCTAGTTTGACCTGTTCACACTCAAAGCTGAGCTGCAGGACCAGTGTTTCATTCGAAAACAGGACCAAAGAGGAGGGCACGGGGAGGGTGCCTTCCACACGGATAGAGGCTGGGAAGCCAGAAGCAAGCCAAACACGAGACGGGGAGACCCACGGCCTCTGGCGCCCCGACAGTTTCCTGAGATTGCCTGTCCCCGCAGGACGGCTGCGTCCCTGGCCCCGAGGCCGGAGGCATCTCCAGGACACCGCAGTTTCAGAAAGGTGTTCCTTGAGTGGAGCTGGGGTACAGACCGGGTGCAAGGCTCGGACACATCCCACCCCATCACCCCGCCTCCCCAGACGCAGGGGATGCATTTCTGAAGGTACAGGGTGCTCCCTTTGGAGAAAAAAAAGGGGGGGGGGGTGGAAACCAGGAATCGCTTACCTATACAGCGTAAAGAAACCACCATTTTTGACGAACAGACATCACTACAAAAGAACAGGGGGTGTTCTGGTCACTAGAATACACGAGATGCTTGACCCTCAAAATACTTAGAAATAAACATTTTCTTCCCATGGTCGCACCCCCCTGCCTCCCCAGACACAGAAGGGCCCGCGATTGAAGAGTCAAAAAAGGAGAGCACATCCACCTGGGGGACCCTGGCATCGAGCACTGAGTCCCAGCCCGGGTTTCAAGTCACAGCTGTGTGACCCCGGGCTCGTTACTTAACCTCTCTGTGCGTCGTTTGTCCCATCTGTAGAGTGGGATAACAGTACCTGGTCATAGACTGGTTGTGAGGGTAAGCACCCAATAACATGAGCTACTATTTTTATTTCCAGAACTGAAAATCACCCTCTAATTTTGTAAGGAAGTCATCTGTAACCTTCCGGGTTCCTGTAACTGCTTTACGCGTATTGCACAGAAAAACGAGACGACCCCTCGCTGGCTCAGGAGCCAAAGAAAAGTTAAGTCACTCATTTGGGCGGTAAGTGAAATTGCATCTGAAAAATAAGTAACCAGCACATTCCGTCTCAGAGTGAATCTTCCCCTGACAGATGGTGGAGGAGAGAGGGTTGGTTGCACCCAACGTAACCACATTCAGGGGGTCCACCCCGGGGCCTGACCAGAAGCTTAGTCCAGATCACAGTGACCAACAGCCCCCTCTGCTGGCCGCCAAGAGTGACGGCACCTGCTTGCCAATCTCCGTGTAGCCTGGCTTCATGCCAGCCCCCTTCTAGAAGGAAAAAAGGCATTAAGATACCAATCGCAAAATCGCCTCGCTTCCCAACAGCATCCAATCCAGAGCAGAGCCCTGCTTCCTTGAACCTCCCCCAAACGACTCGACACAAGCCCAAGTTCCACACATAAAGTCAGCTTCTGACACCCTCACATCAAGATGCCCCCCGGTTCCACGGACACCGTGTGTCCCAGGCGTCTTCGGCTGTGCGGCATGGCAACGCCAAGAGAAGACACGTTCCCATGAAAAGAAAATGTTTCCTGAGGGTCACAAGGCTGACTCTCCTCCATGTGGAGGGGCCGCTGTCCGGCCACCAGCGTGTGGTCACATGGAGTCTGCGACTCGGGGATCAAAGCGAAGAGAAGGGAGCCTTCCGCACCCCTCCCCCCACACCCGGCAGCCACCTTGTGAGTCCCGGAGGTGGTGGCCCTCCCTCCCCGCGCAGCCCTGATCCCGCATGGGAGTGTCACCGGGAAGGACAGAAACACTCAGCATCGACCAAGAGCCCAGGCAGCTGTGTTTAGCTTCCTGGGCAGGCAGACCGCGGCCCCGCCGTTTTGATGTGCACCTGGCGAGCACAGCCCTCCTCCTGGGCTCACTCTGTCACGTTCCTGGGGACAGCCAGGCTGGGCAGCTTGGGCGGAAATCGGCCCCCCAGCCACCACGGCCAGCGGCCACCAGGAACGCAAAGCCGCCGCCGGCCGCCCTCTCCAAGGAAAGGAGGGGTGCCACGTCACTTCACCCACCCCAAGGGCAGCCCCTGGCACCTGGCCCACAGGGAGGTGACGGCTTGGCCAGCCACCTGGGGATGAGCGATAGGGACCTGGGAGCTGACCAGGGCTTGCACACAAAGACGCCGTGCGACTTTCACGTGAAAGAGGAGGCAGGTAGCAACGACGGTCTGGGGAGACGGTGAACATTTTAAACACGCGCGAGACGAAACAAGCAGCTCAAGCACCCCCTGCCCCCCACCCTCCCAACCAGCTAGGCCACCAATCCTGCGATCTGCTGTTCAGGTTCTCTTCCACCCACTGGACACACTGAGACCCGCCCCGGGCCACAGGTTGGCTTCGAGCTACAGGACACGTGGGCTGAACCGGACTAGCTGCTCCCTCCCGGGCCCCCCGGGATGCCGCGCACGCCTGGCCGGGTGCCATCTGACAGGGTGGCTGGGGGGCCAGGGGACCAGCCATCCCTGCTGCTGGGGACCGAGAGGGCCCCTGGGGAAGCAGGACTTCCGGGCTGAAACGGGCACCATCCCGGGCGAAGCGGGATGGGCTGGCAACCCCCTTGGGACGCTGACTTTCTCGGGGGTTCGTGGAGACATACCCTGACCCGCAGTCTGTCCGTCTCTAATGTCTGGGGAGTATTTTAATGCGGTCAGGAGGACTCTCCATTTTCATTTTACCATGTTTTCCAGGGCCACCAGGGCTGAGGGCAGAGGGCACGAAGACCATGGCAAATAACCCTCAGCTGCTCCCCGAGAATGAACCACCCCCACTCCGAGTCCAATCTCCTCCCAGAGAGAAACTCTCAGTGATACTGGAATCGCAGTCCGAGAACGCCACCTCGGGACCGTGACTCCCCATGGTGTCTCTTGCTCGCTCTCGTTACAAAATTTCTTAAAGGAAAAATAAAGAAATCACCAAATACCTGTGGTACAGTTTCTTATAGAGATCCATATGGTTAGCACTTGTGTTCACCCTCATAAAGCTGGTGGCCCCACTGTCATCCGCTACTCCGTGGCTAGAATAGAAACTATTCCTAAAGGAGACAGAAAACCTTGATTAAAATAATGGCTTCGTGACAAGCGACGGCAAATCCTTGGGCCGTATCGCCATACTTCTCTCGTACGGTGTTCGGATAAGGGGGGACACCTTAGCATGTGGGAAACAAAACCACAAGGTCTGATCAAGTGACGCTGTCTAATAATCCTCTTTGGATCCAATAACCCGGAAGCGTCAGGTGAAAGCCCTCCGTGGGCCTTTTTCTAATCTAGTTTGGGCGAGGATAGAGAAATACGGACAAAGGGGATGTGAGTACATGTAACCTAAGAGAATTTACGGATGTTAAAACACTCCCCCGCTATAAAATCCCGTTGGGTCCTGAACATGATGGGGGCGTTACTACGTCCATTGGGGATGGCATTTGGAGAGATTTCGCTGGCTAAGATGCCAAGTTTCTTTCTTTTTTT